CCAAAACATCTGGAGCACGACTTGAAGACCATTGGCATTGACAAAATCACCATCAGTCCATTGCAAAAGGCAGCTTGACTTGGAACAGCTCACATCCTGCGACGATGCCTTGAACACCATCAAACAACATCTGCCTATCCCAGGTCCGTGGGAAGGACTCAATAGGTGGACAAAAATGCCAAATCCAGTCTAAACATCTGGTTGACTGTCTGAACAACAATAATAATTTAAACTTGTATGCTGCCCAATTCTCAATAACTCTGGGTGGCTCATGACAAACAATAAAACCAATAAAACATGAAAAATAAAGATAAAAGATGGCAAGTGTGATGAAATGAAGGGGTGGCACTAACCCTCACCAAAGGCCTGGCTGAAGAGCAGTCTCTGAAACAGTTATACCAAGACACAAAGACTGCATATGAACATAGACGTAGGTGCAGTGAAGCAATGCTTTCTCAGACATGGTGTTACATCTACATTTATGGCACACTGCCACTGATTTAGCGTATTACCAGTGCACCAAGAGGATCATCTAAAGAGTCATCTTTACAGTTTCCTAACGTGTTATGATTCAGGCATTGCTGAAAGTAAGGGGTTGGGGAAGAGCCAGGAAAACAATTCAGCATTTCACTAGGGGGTAGACCTAGAAATCCATCAAAAGCCAAATTACAAGGTGGGAGTCTTATGCATTAATGCTCTACCTATTCAATCCACATAAAACCATCTTGATCGCAGCTGCTCCAAACTTCTTTCAATCTATAAGTGATCTACTGAGAGACACCTATCAATGGAAAACAACTTTTTGGTGTGTGTGTGTGAGTAAAAACAGCTAATTTGACACACGCAATTTGTGTGCAGTGGACTAGCTCAGTTAAAAAACCAAGAACTCAGCCTGACAGGTTTATTCCAGAAAGCAGTAGGGGTTAGTGACCGTTTGTTTTGAGATGTCAGTTAAAGACTGGGGTGGAAACCACGGGGAAGGGCTAGGACCCATTAACAGAAGATCAACTTCCCCACACTGTTTCTCCTGGTAGGGGAGTTCTGCCTGGAAGATCTGAACAAACGTAATTTGAAGGCAACATTCTACTGGACTAAAAATATGTCATGCTACTTTCTAATTATAGTTCAGTTACAGATGAGATGAGGGTTGCAGAGTGAGGAGGAAGAGGAACACATGGATGCAGAGATAGGTGCAAAATATGCTTGGGCCTTTTCTTCAGTGGCATCACTATCTAACCTGTAGTAGAAACTTAAGTTTCATCTTTTGTATGCTGTTTTCTAAGAAAGCTTTTGCAATATTTTAATTCTAAAGGTTTTCAGGGGATCTCAACAAAATCTACAGGCAACCTAAGGCCAAGGGATGCAGGAGACGCCTGCTCCTGACCGTTCTGGGCCTCTTAAGCAGCAGCTTTGGGCTGAAATGCCGGGAACGATGGCCGGCAGGAATGGTTTTGGTAACCTTATCAGATGGAACCAAGGTCAGAAGAACTCGTGCTTGGACTGTGCAGCTGCTTTGGGGGCTTTAATTCTCCTCCCTCAAGCAGGAGAGTTTACCTCAGTGAGTTCAGCACGGTGCATCTCCAGCTGGCTAGTTATTTCTTGCAGTTTTCCCTATCTCCCTTGAAAGGGGAGGGTCCTTGGTGTTGAAGGCAGTGCAGCTCTTTGGACTGTACCTCTTGCTGCCCCACAAGTTCAGCAGGCCTCCCTCCCTGTAGGGGCAAGATCTTCCCTGTTCCCAAGTTCTGTATCTTGGCTACCCCCTCAATCTGTCACTTCCTCCTTGCTTCCCTGCTTCTTCCCATCTTTTATTTACTACCCATCTTATTTGGGGCAACCCAGCAGCGCTTCTCACTTTTCCCCCTTTCCAGCTGGCCGTATTTCCCCCCCGCAGACATCTTTCAACTCTTCCTTGGTTGAAAAACAGAAGAACTAACTTTGTTAGAATGGGGATTGCAGTTAGGTGGGTGTCAGCCTTACGAGGTAGACCAGACAGGAAATACGACCAGATGAGCTAATCTTACTTTACTGTAAAGCTACATTAACAGAATCTTGCAAGCCTGAAAGTGCATCTCTCCCCGCATCTCCTTTACAGCCCAAGAAACTAGGGAGGGTCCCTTCTGAGCCTCTTGACCCACCCACATTCCTGCTGCAGGCTCAGTTGCCTTTTATCTGACCGTTCCCTTGGTTGTCTCTCTTTGGCCTGTCTCCCAAGGTCATTCCCACAAACCATTATATAGGGTCAGGCTATGCCCACAAACCCCATAACAACTGACTGGACATTTACAGAATGCCAAGCTTGGACATTCTTGATGAATACTAAGGGAGGGAGGACATCAACAATCCTGGGTTCAGATAAACAGCGAGTCAAAGTATCAGGAAACATACCAGCTGTATCATCTGATTCCTCTCCTTCTTGATCTCCTCTTTTTAAGGAGGGCCTATGCCTAAGGGAATCCTGTGGAGAGAGACGGCGAAGATATCCTTGAGAGAACAATTCGCTTTCTTCATCCTCCTCCTCATCTTCCATTTCAAAGGTGGGCTCCAGCTGAGGCATGGGCCTCTCAGAATCAGAGTCCTCAAACGGCTCATCCAGGACCTCTGTCGTTTCTGAGATCGTTTCGGTAACCACGCTGCTGTTGTGGTACTTTCGCTTACGGACCCGTCTCTTCCGGGGAATGGGCTTCTGCACGAGACAGCCAAAAGGAAAAGGGAAAGGAAAAAAAGAAGGAACAGGTGAAAAAGTCTCCACATTTTATTTGATAATTCACTGACATCTGTTTATATTTTTTAATCCACCCAATTACAGGGATCTCCTCACAATTAAAAACAGTAATAAAAGATACAGCAATACAAGGGGCAAAAAACAGGGGAAAGCCACCCTGTTTTCCAAATCGTATGTACTTGATAAGCTTATCACATATATGAAATCTGGACTCACACGTCCTTTAGTACTAGTTTCCTAGGAACTTGTAGTGTTCTTGATTCTAGACATTTACACAAACATGCAGGACAAGCAAGAGCAAGAGGGGACTGTTTCTTCTTTTCGGGAGCAAGCTTTCGCTGCGCAGAGCAGAGCAGGCGAAGCAGCAGCTGCGGCATACGTCCACGCAGGCGTAAGAGATAGGCCAAAGGAACAGAGAGGTGCAGTTCATCTTTCCAGAAGCTTAGATGGGGTTACGGCCACATTTACCTTATTTTCAAACAAGCGGCCTCTATCTGTATCCCAGGTTTGTAAAACCTCTTAGTTTCAGCAGAAAGCATGCGGGGAGGGTACAATTTATACAGTTCATTCGTAGAACAGAACTTAATTCAAAATAAGGAGCCAAGAAATACACTGACAAAAGAAATCAGGAGGAATCTGGTAGCACCTTTTCCGACTAACACATTTATTAAAAGGTATAAGCTTCTATTAGTCAGAAAAGGTGCTACCAGATTCCTCCTGATTTTTTGTCACCATAGACTATCACAGCTCTCCTCCCACAGGCTTTTGGTTTGCCTACAGCCTGAGCGTCAGAGCCATAAAAGACCCGCAGCCACAGGCAACCTCCAGCCCCCAGAAGCATGACTCCCTTCAGCAGTCAAAATGCCCAATGTTGCTATATGGGAATACAAGGCCTTTGGGAGGTGATCCTATTTCCCCCCTCTTCCAGGATTCACTAATTTGTGATACGGCATGCTGCAGCAGCCCAATCATTGTCTTAGTATGTTGTATAAAGCAAGCGAACATATTAAGCCACACAAGGCTTATCTGAATTCTACGAACCCAGCTATGCTTTCTTAACCCGGTGGTTTAGGACTTAGCATGTTGTATGAACCCAGCCAACAGGATGTATAGAGTATGTTAACAATGACTTATATTTCACTGATTTCAGTGGAACCTAAGAGCGACTAATTCCATCTTAATCTAGCCCCCT